AAGTATCTAGTAAAAGGAAAGGAAGGACGTTTCTGACAGAGGTTACAATGGGTGGGGGGCTTTAGGAAAAGGATCAATTGTTAATGACAAAGATTTAGGCCAAGAGGGAGGGTTTTCACAGTAATGTGGGACATGGCACGACAAAAGTGGTTTTTTGACAGGCTCTGGAAAAGAAAACAGTGGGTATGACTGGCAAGGAGCAAAATAAAATAAAATGTGCTCTGGACCTCCAAGTGACGAATGACAGATCTCTAGTGTGTCAGGCATGTGATAATACTTAAAAGAACAGCTGTAACTGCTGACAAAGACTGATGAAGAAAGGGAGGAATTGCATCCTGGATACATTATACACAATTAACAGTTCCACTGGCCTCATGTAACTTAAATTGGCTTTCAATGCCCTGATTATAGGAAATTTTGCATTGTAACATTGCAATATTGACAGATGACCTCGATTAAATAACAATTGGCTTGGTTTACTGTGGATTTTTAGTGTGAAATATAGTTTTAAACTCTGGTGCTGTGCTAGCAATTAGTAACTTTTGAATAGTGCTGGGTATAAGTTAGATAGTGATGCTCAACTTGGGATGTAAGGCAAAAAAACACACAAATAGAGTTGTGGGATGTTCAACGATCGAAACAAATCTATTGAAACGCCTTCTTATATAACACTAAAGAATGTGGGAACGGTTGCAGTTCACATAGGCTCGTCTGTGTTAAAAAGACAACCACATTTTGGAGATGGTTAAAAGATAAAAGATACATATATAGTAGCCATATATAGTTAGCCATCAGTTGTTTGCTAGATAATTAGATTTTGTTTTTATAACATTAGCTATCAGATGTTACTAACTAGCTAGCTAATGATTCATGTATATTAACTAGCTAGTTAGCTAGTATTTTGCTAACTTTAGCTAACTTAAGATACAACTTTATATAGGCCTGTCACTTTTATCTTTTAACAATTTTTAAAATTTGCTTGTCTTTTCAACATAGATTAGCCTTGCAGTATATACCACCACCAATCATCAATGTGCTTGCGACAGAGCTGAAGTGTCCCAATCCCATGACTTGGACTACAGTCAGACTCAAGTCCCAAATTTGATGACTTAAGACTCAAGATAATCAAAAAGGACTTGGAACTTAACTTGGACTTTAAAACCAATGGCTCACGACTTCACTTAGATTTGAGCCTTTTGATTTGAAAATTCTTAATACATTCCACCAAACACAATAATCAAAAACATTTCCCTTCATTTGCTAAACCAACTAATGTTAGCGCTGTTCTTTCCAAGAAAGTTGACACTTAATTCCACTTTGTTTGAACCACTCTGACAACATCCAATCATGTTGCAGGAGAGATGTTAAGTTCACTTGAAACTTGGACCCCAAAGCAAAGACACACTCTCAGGTGAGTGGAAACTGAAGATATTTTAAATCCAAAAACAAAACTGGAACCGAAGCGGGCTGGAGAGGCAGGGAGCTGGCTGGCAGGCAGCGAGCGATGTCTTCAGGAGGGGATTGCACAGGGCAAAACTAGAATCAGGAAAGTAGGTCACCATGAAATTATCAAAATACAATGACAAAAATTACCCCCAAAAAACAATATATTCATCCAACTAAGAAATTAAAAAAAATAATTATAATTAGATGAATAAATAGTCAAAAGAAGTAGGTTCAGATTTATGTCCATTCTAAACTTAAGGCAGCATGTCAGATATACAATTTAGTCCCAGTAACATAATTTTAAGGGGGGGAGGGGAGAAGAGGGAGAGGAGAGAGAGAGAGAGAGATTGTGTCAAATAGTCAGTGCTCAGAGTGTATAGCTACTGTACCTTGCAACAGTCGTCATCTATCATGGTGCAGCACAGGAAGGTTGAATATTAAGTGAGGACATTTCCATTCCTTTTTAAAGCCCATGGGTCTGTGTCTTGCTCTGGCAAAGTTCCTGTTGACCTTTAGTGTAATTGATGGCTGGCACAGTGTGTCTGCAGAGATTTTAAGTCAGCAAAAACAAATTATGCTGTAATCAAACTAAAATTGGAGCATATTCTTATAACTTGAGTAACCTGATGCATGTACCTACTGTTTGTGAACAATGGTATTCACCAGTGGCCATCATAGGCTTTGAAAACATGTGGACGTGGATGTAACCAAAAAAAGAAAGTAACAGTTATTGTTTGTTCAAATGTCAGCTGAACACAGTCAGTGTATACATCAGTGTCGCCATATTGGATTGGATTGGTTTGGGAAGTTGGGGTAATGGGATGTGATAATCGGTGCTACTTCTGTCCCATTTGGGCAGTTTCCTCCAATTAGATATACATAAATTCCTTGTATGTGAAACTACTAATAATTTGCTACATGAAAAGCAACTTTCCCATTTATTTGCATATTTGGTGTTGAGGTGATCTAAAAGTAACAAAGTTATCAAGTTACTTTTCTTTAATATTGTGATACTTGGATTATTGATTACATTTTATTAGTAATTGTAGTGGATCACATTTTAAGTAACGCTCCCAATCCTGTAAATATTAATAATATATGCACATATATATATTTAAGCACTGGATTGTTACTCTGCAGCAGCCGATATTCAAATTTCTAAAAATATCTACAAAATTTGAAAATATATATATATAAAATGTAAATCAAAATGTCCAGCAACTGCCTCACACTAAAAGCAGGAAGAAACTATTGGGGGTTTTTTGCCAGAAGAGGCTTAACATCGCTAAAATAACTGAAAAGTTTAAGCAATTATATATAATTACATTCCAGTCATTTGGCAAAGGATGTTCTTCAGATTGACATTCAGTTTTTCATCCACATGGAAACATGAAATTGAGTCTGCATTAACAGCAAATAGCATCCACAGCTAGTTAAATAATCAGAAAATGGCTTTTTATGAAATTATGATAAAATATTATTTTTAAATTAAGACTTAAGAGGTAAATAAAGGTCACTATTTCATACAACCCAACACTCGGCATTGGGTAGAGGGTAGAGGGTAATATAGACTGTTGGATGCCCAAAATGCAGCGAATTGTAGCTTTAAAGTGTGATTTATTATTGTCATGAAAGTTAAAGGCATTTTCATTTTAAAATCAAGTAGAGGAAGATGAGCATTTAACAGAATGAGTTTGAACAAGAAATGTAATCTGACAGTGTGTTTATCACAACGTCTCTACAAGTTTCAAAGTGGAGGGAAGCAGCTCGTCCATACTAAAGTGGAGCAGTGTCAGCTGCAGATTGATGGTCTGATCTGCCTGATGGATGGAGCTTCAGCATTCAGCTATCTGCCTTTCGGTCAGTGTCTGAGCAGCAACACACAGCACTGCAGAGCAACTCCTCTCCTCTGCTCACAGATAGCACTTCATTTCATTCAAACCTTATGAAACACATTGCACTCCTGTTCACTCACAAGATAAAACTGAACCGAAACCATCCGGATCCCTGAAGAGAAAAATGCAACTAAATTCATTTTTGCTAAGAAATCGATATGCTTGGAGTTTGTTTTGACTTGTGCACTGCTTGGTGCATTGTCAGTAGGTGGCCACTAAAATTTTGTCTTCTAACACTTTAATCCCAGCTGCCATACACAAAGTTTGGAACACACTTACTGTAAAAGTTCTAATCAGCTGGTGAGCCCATAGTATTATCAGTTGCTTAGCTCCTTCTTTGACCTCAGTACTCAGTACAGTGATATGTACCCGCTGTGGCCACACCCTTAATTATACAGAACTTTAAGCCTTAATATCATTTAAATAGGTGACTTAGAAAAATTCGGTAAATGTTAATTTCTGCTGTAAGGTTAGGCATTTTAATGTCTGTCAACCAGCTCAAATGGAGAATGACCTATATGGGCCCTACGGGCTCAAAAAGCTCACCTTACTTCCTGTCCAATAGGTGGCGCTATGAGTATGAGTGAATATGTAGATGTGTTTGGGGTGGGACTCTTACCGGACATGTGAAGTTTGGTGGAGATTGGACCATTTACACTATATGACAACTTCCTGGCAAAACGTTGAAATTTGGCGGCAAGCCATGGACACGCAGTTCAACAATCACAAATAGCATAACTTTGAACCATAATGGTCTTTTGATTGCACTGACCAAAACTTTTAAGTCAATTTAATCAATTCTCTAGGAGAAATTTGTTAAAGTACAACGCATGCAAACTGCAGAAATGACCACTAATTTCAAAATGGCTGACTTCCTGATAGGTTTGGCATATCAGTCCAGGGTTTTTTGTACGTCTGGTCATGATACATGTGGAATTAAGTAATAATAATCCCAGCAGTTTCAATAGAAATAATTATAAATATAAAGCTATAACAATGTCATGTTTATTTGACCTGATTCTGAATACTGTCAGCACAGAAAATAGT